AGGGAGGAGGAGGGGGGATGGAAGAGGTGGAGCTCGAGCAAGAGCAGCAGGTCTGACAGAGATAATCGAATGAGGAGGAATCGGATGGGAGGCCGACGAGTGGAGGAGGAGGGGTGGGAGGAAGAGAGAGATGATGGGCAGGCTCTTTGGGGGGGTGGAGGAGCGGCACAGTGAGGAGGAGAAGGAGAGCCTCGACATTGAGCAAGAGGATGAGAAGGCCGAGGGGCATGAGGTGATCGAGGATGACGAGGACAGGCAAGTAAGGAAGAGGAGAACCAGGAGGAGGAGGAGGAGGAGGAGGAGGAGGAGGAGGAGGAGGAGGAGGAGGAGGAGGAGGAAGGCGACGAGCGCCCCACGAACTCCCCGAGAAGTGCCCAGACGTGCTGCCCTCCGCTTGGCCCAGCCCATAGGCGCCCTGCAGCGATCGACGGCACCCTCGGCCGCTGCTCCCTCAAGGGAGCACGCAGTCGTCCGCACGCACCGACCCTGGCCGGGCTGGCCCTGGACCTGCAGGCCAGCCCCACAGCGCCAAGGCAGCCCCCACCCACGTGAGATGCCAGCATCCGATGGCCAGCATCTCGGAGACTCTCGATGGATCGCCACGTGTGCCCCACATGTGGGTCGGACGAGGCCAGGATGGCGATCCATCGAGGAACTCTGAGATCCAGCGGCGCTGGAGAATGCCTCCGGCGCGCGGCCTTCTCAGAGCGTTCCAGAACGCTCTGAGAGCGCTCCAGAAAGCTCACGAACGGACTTATCCTCAACCTAGCCCCGTCCGGCCACAGCGTCTGGAGGTCCGTCCTGGGAGCGGCGGCTGCCAGATGCCACCCCGCAGGGCTATCGGGTCGGGCGAAAGGGGGGGATAGCAAAGGGGGGGTTTGAGAATCAGCTCGCGTAGCTGATTTTCCCGGCGCCTCCCGGCGCCGGAGGCGGCTACGTATCGAGGAATGGGCCCCTCGGTGAGGCCGAAACCAGCTGCATGCAGCAAATTTCGTAACCCCCCCTTTCCCAATCCCCCCCTTTCGCCCGACCCGAGGCTAGTCCACGCAACACCCTGCCCCCCCCCCCCCGAGGTTTTCGAAAAACGGCCCCGCAGCGGATGGGGACACGCTCTGACGGTGGCCGGCCACGTGTGAAGGGGCCCTGGGACACACAAACAAATACACACAGATAAAGATATCCCCCAGATCTTCACATTTGTTCTGGGTTCTTGTCTTCCCCCCCACTTCCCATATGTTCCCATATTTCCTGGGGAATCGACGATTAATTGTGTCTGTTTTTTTTTTTTTTTTCCTCCTGACTCTCCCCGGGCGCGTGCTGGCCGGGACTGCGAGGCGAATCCTTGGCCGTGGCGGCGAGGGCCTCCCAGGCGGCCCCCCACGGCGAAAACGGGGCCAGGGCAGCGGCATCGGCACCTTCCCAGACGTGCGATGCCCTGCTCGCTTCAATGCTGCTTTTCCCCGGAAGGCCCTCGGGGGCGCACCAGCCCGGGTCGATGCCAGCCCGGGTCGGTCAGGCTCTGCAAGATCCTGCACCCAACCAAGCCCAGGCCAATGCAACCCTGGCCCTGCAGGATCCTGCGAGATCCGGCGTTCTGAGTGACCCCCGTTTGCATTGACCCCCGCCCCTTGAGCCCCGAGGCCCGACTCTTCGCCCTGGGCCGGTGTTGCATCTCGAGACCGAGAGCGGCCACAAGAACCTCCCGTCGTGACTTGGTACCGTCGGACCTGCTTCAAGAGTCGGGGATCTACTGACCCGGGTCACTGTAGACCAGGGCCAGTCAGGCCTGCAAGATCCTGCAGGGTCTTGCAGGATGCTGCAAGACCCTGCACCCAAGCCCAGGTAAGTGCGCCCTGGCGCTGCAGGATCCCGAGGGATCCGGTGTCTGTCTGACCCCCATTTGCATTGAGCTCCGTATCTTGAGCCCCGAAACAGCCTGAGACCCTCCGCCGGCCAAACCGAACAGAACATCCAAGGGTACCCTCCCCAGGATGCACAAGAGCATCCTACAAACACGAAGAGCATGAATGAGGGCATCCTCCCCGAACTGACCTAGATCTCGTGCCTCTGTCCGACTGTGCTGTGCGACGCGAGCATGTCTGGCTTCTCCTCCTCTGGGGCACGGGGCCTGGCCTGGCAGAGGCCGGTGCCGGCGGGCAACCAGCGCGCTCCCTGCAGCCGTCACGGGCCACGAGCCCGCCGGTGCCGGTCGCCGTGGCACTCGGCCGCGCCAAGCCGCCGGAGCTCCTGCGCCAGCTCGAGGTGACCCTCCTCGGGCGGCCAGGCAGTCAGCTTCTGGCTGGGAGGAGCTCGCTGCATACACCACGTCGTGCGGTCGGCCGAGGAGCTCAGCGTGCAGACGTCCCAGCGGTCCAACCTGCGGGACGCCAGAGCTGCTGCACACCGAGAGGCTTCGCGGAACTCCTCGGCGCCCTGGCCAACCCAAACAGCGTGGCGTATACACCGAGCCCCTTCGACCCGCCCTCCCACCCCTCTCTCTTCGGGCGGCCAGGCGGTCAGCTTCCCAGAGTGGATCTAGAAAAAACGCCCTGGAAAAATGCAGATCGTCGAAAGTCTTCTGACTACCTGATTGTTTCTTTGGTGTGTGTTCCTGGACGTCGGCCTCTGGGGTCCCTGGTCGGGCACTGGGATCATCAAGACTTGATCTGGGGCAGAAAACTCGCCCTCGGGAAGGGGCGGGGACCTACTGCACCGCGCATTGAACAAAAGCACACCTCGTCGGATGCCTGGGTTCCCTCCCTCCCAGCTGTGCAGCGCGTGCATACGGTAAGAGACCTGCTCCACGAAATCTGAGCAAGAACTTCCCGTGGGGCACCCATTGGCAGGTCGGCTTCACATTTAATGTACCTACTTCCATGGTCCTCCAACGACCCACCCAGCGCAACACATGTTCGATCAATGAATCGTGGATCAGTGGGCCCCGTGAATACCCCAGCACAAAACAATCAGCGGCCCACCTCCTGCTGCTTCTCCGACACGTGCCCGAAGGGGGGGAGAAAGGTGAGAGGACAATAGCAACAGGGAAACACCAAACACTAGGAGTTGTGATGAGGAGCAGGGCAAGGGGAATTGGCTGGGATGCGGCAGTGGCAAGCAGCAGCTGCACATCTCTCACTCTTTCGCTCCCTTTCTCTCTCTCTCTCTCTCTCTTTCTCGCCCCCTCCCTCTACTGTCTCTTTCTCTCTTTCTCGATGTCTTTCTCTCCTCTCTCTCTTTCTCACTCTCTCACTCTCTCTCGTGGCACCCTCTGTCCTCGCCATCATCGCACGTCTGAGCCGGACATTATCCCAAGACGGGCCCTCCTGGTAGGCATAGCGGAGCGCGGTCCAGCCAGAGAGGTTGGCCACGTCTATGTCCATGCCAGCGTTCAGAAAGAGGTTGACCAACTCGCTGTTCCCCGCATACGCGGAGCAGTGCAGCGCGTTGTCCCCAGCGTTGTCCCCGATCCACGGGTCTGCGCGATGCTCCATGAGCAGATGGACGTTCCGTATGCCGTTCATGACGGGGGGAGGCAATGACGATCCTGCTGCTTCGCTCTGCCCATAAACGAGTTCCGATGTGTTGTGCGCAAGAGCCTGGTGGCCTTGCTGATACTGGGCGGGGATCTTCCGTGAACGTGTCCAGGCAACCTAGAAAGGTACCGATCCGCCACTGCCCAGACCTCTCCCGGGATGCGTTCTGATCAGAATGTCGATGCGACTCCAGCGGTTGCGACGAGAGCATCCCAGGAGGCCCAGAGAGGGGAGAACAGGGCAAAGGTAGCGGTGTGTGTACCTTCTCATCGTTTGAATTGCATGGGTCCCACGGTGAGCGCATCCCTGTGGTTCTCAGGAGCACACAGCCTGGCGAGGGACCCAACAGTCTGTTTTCTGTCATCCCTCCCTTCTTACCCATACTGCGAGAGAAATGAAAAGAAACATCCAAACGGACCTAAACTTATCCAGGTGCGAATAACGCAGGAAGTATGGCCCTCTCTTCACGCAACATGGCGGCTCGCACGACAACGTGGGCGGGGGGCTTCGGGATTAGCGCGCATCGCATATGCTCAACTCCCTGTGGGGCGCAAAACGTGAGAGGGATGTGCCGGAATTGAAATTGAGTCCGCTCAAGCTCATCCTGAAAGTCTTCCCGCGGCGAATGCCCTCCTCCTCCACCTGTGCGGTGGACGGATTCCCAGGAGACCAAACAATACACAAACAAATCCTCCCCCCCCCCTCCAGCCTGAAGGTCTGGGCCTGTCAGGCCACAAATCGAACCTCGGGAGGACGTTCGGCGCAACTCGGGCGCCATCTAACGGACAAACAAGACCCAACGACGATTCGGCAACGTAACCGAATAGCCGACTCCTCCTGTATAGGAGGCGGGAAGGACCCCGCAAGACCCCCCACACACACACACACACACACACACACACACACACACACACACACACACACACACACACACACACACACACACACACACACACACACACTCACACTCACACACACACACACACATACACACATCCACACATCCACACATCCACACATCCACACATCCACACACACACATACACACACACATACACACATACACACATACACACATACACTTAACCACACGCACGCAAGCACGCACGCACGCACGCACACAAACACAAACACAAACACAAACACACACACACACACACGCACCACACACACACAGAACACTCGAAACGGCCAAACACTATCAGAACCCTGCTCGATCCTCGACCCCTGGATCCTCGGGGAGATGTAGCGCACTTGGTGGTGACTCCCACTTGGAACACACACTAGCATGTATTACGGAGTCGTGGATCTGACCCATGGGCGCCAGATCTACGGAACAGGGAAGGTCCCTCCCGGAATAGGAGGCCGTGGCCGCCTGAGTTGGCGACGGGGCGCGACGCCAACCAACACAGACCAAACATCCGTGTGGTCGTTTCCTTGAAACAAGAGCCCGGCTGATGGACCCCGTCAGCGCCATCCCCCGGGGATGTAGCAGGCGGACAGCAGCGCGGTGCTCCCGAAGAGCGCGCGGGCGTTCGGGTCGGCCCGCCGCTGCAGAAGCAGGGCCTGCGGGGTTGGCCGCTTGTCGGAAGCTCCTTATGTTGCATCCTCGGGGGACCTTGTCTGTCCCGTCGCGGCCCTGTCCGCGTCGAATGCATGTCGAATCCATGTCGGACGCGTCGGATCCGTGTCGAATCCGTGTCGAATCCGCGCGTCGAATCCATACCAAATCCGCGTCGAATCCGCATCGAGCCCGCGTCGGGCCCCCCCAAAAACACCAATGTTGGGGACAGGCGAGGTCCCCCGAAGATGCAACAGAATGCTCCCTTACGAAAGAAGCGGCACGAGCCAATTCAAACAGCGAGACGTACCCAATCCCTTCTCCGCGCGAGGCGGCTACTTGTGCGAACGCCCCATACGACAAAACACCTCGCGCTAGGGCTCCCAACTTCGCGCTTCGCGCTTCGCGCTGCGCGAAGCGCGAATAACTTCGCGCTCTCGCGCCGCCCCCCCAAAGGGAGAATAGGAGGACGAGGAGGAGGGGGAGAAGGAACGAGGACCGCGAAGCGCGAAGCGCGAATAACTTCGCGCCCTCGAGGGAGCCCTTGTCGCGAGACATGCGGCTCTCTGAGGCGCTTCGCCCGTGTCGGGCCAAGCGCGTCGCGCACGAGACGGCGCCCGGCGACGACAGACACGACAAGGACCATACAGACCGGGTGACCGACGAGGAGGAGGAGGAGGAGGAGGAGGAGGAGGAGGAGGAGGAGGAGGGGGAGAAGAGGAGGAGGAGGAGGAGGAGGAGGAGGAGGAGAAGGAGGAGGAGGAGGGGGAGGAGGAGGAGGAGGAGGAGGAGGAGGAGGAGGGGGAGACGGATGCGGAGCGGGGGGAATTTTGGTTGTCGTTTCTCTCCCCCACGCAGCCAGGGCCCCCACAGTGTCCACGATCCCGCGGCGCACGGCCGCCGCCCCTCGGCGCACCGGCGTTGCAGCGCTGGGCCGAGGCACCGCCGAAAGGAGGGGAAGCCGAAGTTGGGATTTCTGGGGCGGCGGACGAGGAAAACCTCAAGGACGCAAGAGCGAGGAAGAGCAAGGACGCAAGGGCACCCTGAGCAAAGTCGCGCGTCCTCATTAGGGTTTTTGACTGTACGTGGCGAACCACGATTCGATGCCAGTCCGGGAGAGACCGAGAACCCAGTCCCTGTGAGAGGCCCGACCTCGTATGCTCGATCGCCTCAGAAGCCTCCAGGGAGCCGAACGTGCACTTCTTCACGGCCACGCGAGGGTGCTGGTGGAGACGGCCATCGCCGCACAGCAGTGGAGATATATGTGGGTTCGCCTGGCCATCCTTGAAAACCTCCTCTCGAAAGACATCCGAAGAGACTGAGAGAGGTATCCAAGGGGTCTCTGGCCTTTCTGCTCGCCCTCCCCCCGACTCTCCTCCTTCTCCTCCTCCTCCTCCTCCTCCTCCAACTCCTCATTCTCATGCGCCTATTTCTCCTCCTTCCTCTTTCCACTTCCCCCTCCCCCTCTCCCTACTCCTCCTCCTCCTCGTCCTCCTCCTCCTCCTGCGCCTCCTGCCATTCCTCCTCCATCCTTCCATCCTCCTCTTCTGAGAGCCCGTTCGGAAAATCCCAGCGCGATTGCGGGCGTGATCGGCCCCGGCCCCCGCCCCCCCCCCCAAGATCACGTCGCGGCGGTCGTCCGGTAGCGACCGCGGACGTCGTGTGGCGCTCGCAGGCTACTGTGGCGTTCAAAGGGATCGTGCTGTTGTGTTCACAGGCACGCTGTGGCATTCGTGAAAGGAAGCGGAGTATGCGTGCTTATCGCGTGGTGCTCTCAGGGACGCAAGGTTGCTTTGTCGCGCGGTAGCCTGTGGTGCTGCGTGATGGTGCCGCGCCGTGCCGCGAAGATCCCGTGTTGCGTGCTTGGCGCCATGCTTGTCGCGGGGATGCCGCGCTTCTGGTGCCGCGGGGCCGTCGTGGCCTGTAAGTTTGAAGAGGAGGAGGGGAAGAGGAGGAGGAGGAGGAGGAGGAGAAGGAGATGAAGGAGGGACAACTCTAGCAACGCTTGAAAAACCAGTCCACGTGAATTCCATGTCAAGAGGCTGTTTGTTTGCGCCCTACGGGGCAAAGTTGCGATGGCGATCGGGGAACCTTTCGGTGCTGAGGTCAACCGAATTCGCGATGGTGACCTTCGGGAAACCGTTCAGAGCTGAGGTCCACCACTGATGGTGGAGAGATCGGGGAACCTTTCGGTGCTGAGGTCAACCGAATTCGTGATGATAACCTTCGGGAAACCTTTCAGAGCTGAGGTCCACCACTGATGGTGGAGAGATCGGGGAACCTTTCGGTGCTGGGGTCAACCGAATTCGTGATGATGACCTTCGGGAAACCTTTCGATGCTGATGTCAACCAGTGATGGTGGAGAGATCGGGGAACGTTTCGGCAGTTGTTTTCACTTAAGACGGAGGAGGACGAGGAGGAGGAGGAGGAGGAGGAGGAGGAGGAGGAGGAGGAGGGGGGGGAGAAGGAGGAACAACTCTTGCGACGCTAGGAAAGCCGGCCCACGTGTATTCCATGTGATCTCGCAGTGCCGCGGGACCTTGGTCTCAGCGGTGTTCGCAGGCGCTGTGCTCACAGGCGCTGAGGTGCTCACAAGCGCGGTGATGTTCTCGGGCTGTCTATGTGGTGTTCACAGGCTCGGTGGCGTTCACATGCGCTGTGGTTCTCACAAGCGCAGTGGTGTTCTCTGGATGTCTCTGTAGTGGTTCCAGGCGCTGTGATGCCAGAAGCGTTGTGGTGTTCAAGAGCATGTTGCGGCTGTCGGGTCTCAAGCGATTGTGGCGTTCGCAGAGAAAGTGTGGTGCTCACGGGCATGTTAAGGCGCTCCAGACGCACCCACAGCGTGACGTGATTGGCGCGAACCCCCCCCCGATCACGCCCGCCAGCGGCCCGAATCGACGAATTGGCTCTTTGGGCATGGCGTCTGAATCCGGCCCTTTCTTCCACTGCATGCTCTCTCACTTCCCTCATCAGGGCAACTCGTCTATTAGATCGTTTCTGGAAGAGCTGATGGGTTTACGTGAGGCGTCTAGAATATCCTCATGGTCTGGCAAACGGAGATTGGCCGAGACTGGGCCGAAAGGGCAAAGTAACGAAGGCACCCTTGGAAAGTCTCCTCGCCGAAGTCCCGTCGGAACTTGTCCCTAGACTCACAGGGTCCCTCCCAGCAAGTCGTCAGAGCCGTGGCCCGCAGTGGCGCCGAAAGGCCCTGGACGCCCGAAAAACGACGGCGACACCGACGTCGACGACGACGACGACGGCGGCGACGACGACGACGTCGACGACAAGGGAGTAATATTTCAGGGGGGGCTTTGGGGAGACCCCGTCCCTGACGCGCAGCTCGGCTGCGCGAGCGGCTGGCCCTCAGAGGGGCCCCGGCCGCCCAATTAGCACACCGCACCTGCGCGGAGTGCCCGGACGGAGGGCACCGCCGAGCGCTGCTGATCACTAGCCGGGGGGGACCGTTTCATGCCGATTGCGGTGGAAGTTGTTTACTGAAATAAGCTCGAGGCAACAACGATCCAAGAAGAGAGAGGAAAGAGAGAGAGAGAGAGAGAGGGAGAGCAGAGCTCATGCATGCGGGCCTGCCGCGCAACCGTCCCATCACCGCCGCTGTGGGCAGAGAAGACGGCACTGCAGCGGCAAGCCAGGGCCCTGAAAGCGCCGAAACGCTAGGGCCTCCGTGGGCCGAGCCTCAGTACACTGCCGCCTGGCAGCGGCAGCTCGCCTGCAGCGCGCCGAAAACCGACCTCACCAGAGGCCTCATCAGGAACTGGAGCTAGCATCCCTGCTCAGGGCCCCTGCAGCTCGTCGTCGACGACCGCTCCCGCGAGGTCATCCCGCAGGCGCAGCTCGATCTGCTCCTGAAGCCAAAGGAGGCCACGCCTCTGGGCCTCAGGATCAGGGGCCACAAGCCCCGCCTCCTTCTCGTGGTGCCAACCAGGCCTGCAGAGATCCCGCTGCAGCACCATCTCCTTGCGCTCCTTCTTCCTCAACCGCTTCTCGTGGTTGCGCGCCGCCTTGGCAGCAGCCAGCACGGCAGGCGGGCCCGCTTCGTCGTCCGTGGAGACCTCCTGCTTATCCATTGCGACGCTCAGGCGCTCCAGGGTGGGGGCGGAGCCGCCGTCTGCACCAGCGCCTGCTGCTCCTTTTTCCACGCCCTGCTTTGGCGCCAGCGCCTCTTCTGGAGGGTCTCCGCCGACGGCGTCGGCGCCGTTTCCGCCACTGCCTGCCTCCAGGGAGGCAGACTCGAAGGCGGCGGCGGGGTCGGTGAGGCCGAGCGCACCGGAGCCAGCCCCGATGCTTGAGCCATCTCATCCTGCCGCTTGCTGATGATATCCAGCCTGCCGTGCAGGCGGAGCTGCTCCGCCGACGGCCCCTTCGGTGCCGACGTGCCGGCCCGGCCGAGCCACCTGCTGCTCCGACAGCCTCAAGGGTGGCATCGCCTTGGCCGGCACGCATTCCTGCGGTGCCGCCTGCTCCTCCCTTGCCAGCCCCGTCTGCTGCTGCAGCGATGGCACAGGGGGCGGTGGCAGCTGATTCTGCGCCGTCCTCGCCATGTGGGCACTCGCCCCAGTGCACAAAACTTCGCCGTGATCTCCGCGTTGGTGGCCTCCGAGACAGGGGGGGAGGCCCTCGCCAGAGGGCTCCTCGATCGGCTCCCTGCCGATGTCTCGAGCTCCACACACGGGCCGCCGAAGAACGGGAGGGCCGCTCCCGAGAGCTCCTCGAGCTGCTCCTTGCCGATGCCCGTGATGACCCCTGCGGTGCCCGCACCTGCGCCGCCTGATTTCGCACTGGCGAGCGGAGGCGGAGCCTCAGGGGTGATGGCGCCACGCACCCCCGGCTCGAGGACCGCTTGACACTCCTCGACCTGCTCCTCGCCCTGTTCAGCGCAGACCTCCTCGGACTCGCGCTGGAAGAGAGCGAGACCCTTGACTTCGCCATCCGTGCTGGCTGCTAGCGCCTGCACCTCCTGCGACTCGAGGACGGAGAGGGCGTCAGCCACAGCACGGAACGCCGCCGCAACCACCTCGATCTGCATGCGAGTGGCCCCCGCGCGCGGAGCCGCTCTGAACCGACGCGCGCGGAAGGCCCAAGACTCGCTTGAGCCCAAGACTCGCTTGAGCCCAAGACTCGCTTGAGCCCAGAACGGCTTGAGCCAAAATGGCTTGAGCCAAAATGGCTTGAGCCACCCGCGGTGGAGGTTTTAGATAAGGACGCCTTCGCTAAGGAACCCAGGGCCTCGCGACCGACGGGCGGCCCAACGTCGGCCACCCGCCGCGCCTTGAGACAGCGAGGAATGCGCCAGGGTCTGGGCCGAAGGGAGACGTTCCTCATCAAGGGCTCCCAACTTCGCGCTTCGCGCTGCGCGAAGCGCGAAGCGCGAATAACTTCGCGCTCTCGCGCCGCCCCCCCAAAGGGAGAATAGGAGGACGAGGAGGAGGGGGAGAAGGAACGAGGACCGCGAAGCGCGAAGCGCGAATAACTTCGCGCCCTCGAGGGAGCCCTTGCTCATGCAATGCCGCTGCCGTATCAGCCAAGGGGGGCTGCTTCCCCGATGATCCTTGGCACGGCTTTGGACGACCGAGATGGGTACGGAAAAAATGGGCACAATGCCCAACAACAAATGCTGCCCCAAACCAACAGCGACCGCTGTTGGGCGGGCGGCCTTCTCTCGAAAAGACACAGGCCGCGGCGGCGCGGACAGCGAGCCCTGTTCAGAATGAACAGGAACTGCTATTGGGCATCGTGCCCAGTCTCTCCGTACCCATGCCGGGCGTCCAGTACGGCAGGGGTGTGCGCGCGTCGCGGGGTGCAGCCGGCGTTCCCGGAGAGCTCTGGGCGACCGTTCGGGGCAGCTGGTCGACGGACGACGCTTTTTTTCCACAGACACACCCGGAGCCCCGCGGCAGAGGAAGAGGAGGGGAGGGGGGGGAGGGAGGGAGGGAGGACGAGGGAGGGCGAGGGAGGACGAGGGAGGGAGGACGAGGTTTTTCCCCCTGGTCGACGGACGACGCCTGCCGCCACACACGGGGCCAGAGCCGCGCCTCGCCTGCTCGGAGAGCGCGCCCGACACTCGAGAGGCGAGCTGCTCGAGCCGGGGAGCGGGGGCCCCGACCCGACGTCACCCGGAAGCCCGTTGGCCGCGCGGGGGCCTCGATCGGGACACGGGCCCGCTGCCGAACCATGGCTCCGCGACGGGCTGCTAAGCAGGCTCGAACGCATCCCTATCCCTAAGATGGGCGAGCAAAAAGCGAGGACGATCTCAGGGGTAGGCCCTCAGAAACGGAGGGAATCCTTGAGATCGGCATCGAGGCGAGGTGATGTCAAGCATAGGGATAGGGATATGTTTCAAACTGGTAAGACTGCACGTGGATGATGTGTCGGATCACTTCTGGGCCCCCTGGCCGCCGAGGGAGCCCAGCAAAGCTCGGTGCAGGAGGGCCGGTCTCACGCACCCGACGCCACGATCGTTCTTCGTGCGTGGGCCACGCACGAAAAAGCGGGGCCTCCCTGGGGCCACGCCGCGTGGCCCCTTGGGAGGTCCCGACGCCTTCCCGGAAGCGGATGTTCCACACCGAATCATTATTCACGGTCCCGGGGCCTGGTGACGGGCTCCAGAACTCAGTGGGCCCTGGAAACGACAGGGCCGTTTTTTTACCGGTTCCGTGTTGCCGTTTTCTTGCCGGTTTCGACGCCGTTTTTTACCGGTTCCGTCGCCGTTTTGTGACTGGTTCCGGCTCCGGTTCCAATCCTGGAGCCGATTTTTGCCGTTTCTGGTCGCCATTTTCTTGCGTTTCCATTTTCAAGGGGCACTTTCTCGGAGACGGTGAAAAAACGGCCCTGCCGTTTCCGGGGCCCACTAAGATCCAGAAGCCGAAATCGAAGAAAGACGCTCACGCAGGCACAAACAACATCGTCGGCTCAGCTGCCCCGACACGCAACGCGCAACCCGTAACGTGTTCACACAGAGCTCGGCACGCAGACTGAAGACGCATGTCTGGCGCGATAGGGCGCCAAAACGTGGGCCAACACAGTCAAACAGCGCGCAGCATGCCAACACGGACGTCTTAAGCACGGCACGTGTTGCGTCTCAAGACGGGCGTGTCAGGGCAACTGAGATCGTCGTGGATCTGGGGTTCTCTAGAGGCCTCCTAGATGGGGTCGGAGTAGATGGGGTCGAAGGATCGCGCCGTATCGGCGATACATCGGCGATTCATCGGCGATGCATCGGCGATGCATCGGCGATGCACTGGCGATGCATCGTCGACGTCGGCGATGCATTGGCGACGTCGACCTGGAGCAAATCGGGCCCTACATCGAGCCGCATCGGCGATGCGGCGCGATCCTCCGATCCCATGCACTCCGACCCCATCTATAAGGCCTAGATTCTCGCGTTGCGCCCGCCCTTGGGGCCACGGTGCCCGGCCGCGCGCCGTGGTACGTGGCCTGCATGAGCGCCGTGCGCCCGTGCACGGCCTCGCGCTCGCGCAGCGCGTCCGCGGCGCCCGGGCCCTCCAGCAGGTAGTAGACGTCCTGGCGGAAGGGCCCGGGGCCATCTGGAGGGGCCAAGTGTCCACCACCGCTGCGGCAGGCACGACGATAGGGGAAGGGAGCAGGGGGAGGTCCTCCTCCCCCTCCCCCCCTCCTCCTCCTCCTCCTCCTCCTCCTCCTCCTCCTTTCCTCCTCCTCCTCCTCCTCCTCCTCCTCCTCCTCCTCCTCCTCCCTCTCCTACCTGTGGTGGTGGTGGTCGCAAATCGGTCCTTCATATCTCTGTGCCCCTGCTCGGGGGCGTCGGAGAGGGGGCGCCCAAGAGGGGGGTTCGCATGCCATGGCCCGAAGCACACGTGCGCGGACAAGGGGGCACCAGGGAGCGCACGAAAATAATCAGGAAGGGCCATCAAATCTGGGGCGCTTTCTTGGCTCTGGTCGTGATACCACCCCCCACACACTGTCATCACCCCCCTTTTGGCCGCCCCCGACGTCTGGGACTCTGGAGGCTGCTGGGGACCTCTGGAGACTTCCCGCTTCCTTCCTTTCACTTCACTTCCCCCCTTTTCCCAAGCTGGCGATGCGTTTTGTTCGCTCTAGGCGGCTGCGTCGTCCTCCCTCTGCTTCAGCTTGGGAACATATATGCCGGCCCGTGGCCAGCACGGAAGTGTCCGAGACGAAAGCCCAGACCCAGGACAAGGAACGCCTAGAAAACGGTCGGTTGGATATCTGGAGCCCCCATGCCCACGACAGTCTCCTTTCACTCCCTCAACACAGGACCACTTGTTCCCAAATCTTCCCCTCCCAAAGTGAACATGACAAAGAGTTTGCGTATGCCTACTTGAAGTTCTCCTGGTGACTCACCTTCCTTCATGCACCCCCAACTGAAAACCCTTTTCTGCCAACAATCGGTCTCGTCGGAGCAGGCTTGCCAAAAGGTCGCAAACATCTACTTGAAGTGGGCCTGATGGTGCATCATCCAAGTTGGTTTCTTTGCGTGCCGCCCGCCCCGCAAGCCGCTCAGCGGGTGTATGTCGCCGTGTGCTCCCCTCACGTGCCGCCTGGCCATGGCTGGGCACGCGGCCGCACCCCCCGCCCCTGCATTCTGACGTCCTCTACACACGCTTGCGCGCGCAGGTACGACTGCATGATTCACGCATGGAAGCCATGGGCGTGCAAGATCTAACACGTGTGTGCTGCATGAAAACATGCCCCGCGCACACGCATCACAGATACAGCCTTGTGCGCATGACGTTCCAACGCACACGCATCACATACACACGTTTATTCGAACATGCGCCTTCCAGAAAGGCGTTGGCGACAATGGCAGTCGAATGAGGGGGGTAACACCGGGGGAGACATGATACCTGCCCCCACAGAACCAGAGCTTGGCAGAAGCCAAAACGTTGAAGTGGAAAATTCACACTACTACTTTGAAGAAGCTGTTTGCTAGAGGAAACAAACCTTTTAGTAAAGTGCTGTTGCTGCGTTGCGCGACAACCACGGCGGCGCGTCCGAATTGCCGAATGACGTCCTACGCTCGCGCCCTGGATCTTCTGCCAAGCAGCATCAGCAACTCGTTGAAAACATGTCCAATGGTCGCCGCGACCCGATGCAACGCGACCCTGATTACTCGAGCAAATGCATCGCGGGGTGAACTGGCAGGAAGGACAGAAGCCCCCCGCCCCACGACCCGGCCCTGGCCCCGCATCACCACCGCATCCCCAGGGTTCAACTAAGGCAGACCGCGGACTTTACTAAAACGAAGAAACGATTTCACTAAAGCGAAGAAGCGGCTTTACGAACGCGAGGAAAGGCATTACTAAAGCGAGGAAGCGTCTTTAGTAAAGGCGCGCCGCTCGATACATTCCGAAAAACGACGTTTTACGAAAGCGAAAAGAAAACGTTGATAAAGCGGAGCAACGGCTGGGGTAAAATCGAATTTCCGCTCCTCCCATAAAATCTGGCCCGGGACTCCAGGAGCGAGGGCTGGGCGCAAGTTCGCCCGTGGGCCTGGGTCCCCTCGCCGCCGTCGCCGCGATGTTCGTCGTTGCCGCCGTCGCCTTTGCCGCTGTCGTCGCCACCGTCGTCGCAGGCGCCGCCGTCGTCGTCGCCGTCGCCGTCGTCGTCGCCGCGACGCCCGCGCATTCATGTTATTGCCAGCGGCGGGTGGCGCGCGACAGCGCGCGCCACTGCGCTCGCATCTCCGTCGACGTCCTACGTATTCAAAATTGATCAAACAACGTGGGGGGCTTGATCGCTTGTGGGGGTAGGATTAGCCTGCCCCGCGCTGGGCGTGGGCTGGAGGGAGATCACGTCAGAGGGTGGTTCCGGTTCGCGTGGGAGATTGGAATGGACCGTCGGGCGGAGTGGAATGGGGGATGCTATTTGAACAAGCTGGAGCGCATATGCATGTGCCACACATCTTCCTCCTGCACGATGTGCTCCGTATGAAATTACCAGCTCCACTCCGGTATTATCGTACAACTCCCGTGGCACTTGCTTTGGCTTCGTTGATCAGTCTGCTGGGACCTCCTCTTGCCCCCGTTACAGAGTATATTGGGGTTCTCGTGAGATCCCTTGGGGGGGTCGCTCTCGCTGACGGTGCATGCCATGCGTTGTTGACCCCAACGGTTCCGCGCCATTCACGTGCAACGGAAGCAGCTACGCCGCGGAGAGCGACAGGGGGGCCCGCGCCGGTGCTTCGGGAAAGACGACGACGACGACGACGACGACGACGACGACGACGACGACGACGACGACGACGATCAGGCCCCGCCCGAGGGCCTCGGGCGAGTGCGCCGACGAGACCAGCTCCAGCAGGGCCCGGCCACGTCCGCCTGGCGCACGCAAGCCCCGAGGCTCGCTCCACGCGGGGTGGCCCCTGCGGAGTCGGGCCGCCCCCCTGCACGTCGCTCCTCGCATCTGCTTCTCGTGGCGGAGGCGGCTGCCGTTTTACGTGCGAGAGTACGATCAAGAGAACGATTGGTGAAAATAACTGGGCCAGCTTCCTTCCCGCAGGTTCTCAAAAGAAACCTGGGCGCCTCTCTGTTCATGACGCTGAAGGGGCGAACGTGTTCAAGAGGCTGTGCCCGCTTTCTGGCAAGCTGGTCAAGAAACGTTGACCCAACTGTTCGAGAAGGTTCCTTTATCATGTGCTCGACCGAACTCATCCCCCTCCTCCCCTCTCCTCGTCTGGCCTCTTCCTCTTCCTCTCCACTACCCCCTCCAACTCCGCGCCCCTCGTCCTCCTCGTCGAGCTCCAAATATACCCCTCCACTCCCCGTCCTCCTCTTCATCTTCCTTCTCCTCCTCCTCCTTCCTTCTCCTTCTCCTCCTCCTCCTCCTCCCCCTCCTCCTCCTCCTCCTCCTCCTCCTCCCCCTCCTCCTCCTTCTCCTCCTCTTCCTCGTCCATTTCCTCCTCCTTGTCGTCCTCTTCCTCCTCCTCCTCGTCCTCTTCCTCCTCCTCCTTCTCCTCCTGTTCTCATCGTCTCACTTCCCGTCTCGACGTTCTTCTGCCGCTCCCCCTTCCCTCCTCGTCCGCCTCCGCTAGTCGCTCGTCACCCTCCTCCTGCCGGTCCCTGCTCCCGTTCCTGAACCTGCCCATCCCGATCCTCCTCATCCTAACCTCTTCCTCTGTTTCCTCCTCCTCCTCCTCCTCCTCCTTTCCCTCGTCCTCCTCCTCCTCCACGTCCTCCTCCTCCTCCTCATCATCATTATCATCCATATCCTCTTTCTCCTCCCGTCCCCTCCCTCCCCTGTCTTCACATCCTACCCCATCCCGTTCCTCCGCGGCCTCCTCCTCCACCTCTTGGAGCCCGGGCCCCTCAACCCTGGAAGAGCGCACGCCACCACGAGGAGCAGGGTGAAGAAAATGAGGACGAAGAGATGGAAGGCTGAATGGGAGGAGGAGGAGGAGGAGTAGCAGGAGGACAAGTTGAGGATGGATGGCTGTAGGAAGGGTGGAATGATGGAGTTTGATGCTCACCTGAACAACGGCCTGCAATAACTATTCGAGCACGGAGAAAGGCCCGCCTTGGAATATGCAAGAAGCTCTGTTGGTTACCCGTGCGAATGAACTTCCAAATCAGAACTGAAACAGTGACTTTGGATGTCAGACCTGCCTCCCAGTCGTGTACGCCGTCATCTAGAGCGGGCGAACAAAGAAGAGTCCGCCGATGCAAGCGCAAGCGACCAGAAAGTGCTGATCACGCCTCATGGCTGAAGCACGCTCAGGCAATTCACCCAAATAGCTCCCAGAAGGACGCTTGCGTTCCCTCCTGCTTGGAAGTCAACAGACCTGACAGCGCGAAGGAGAGCTACAGCGCGACCGCGCATGATCGTGATTGCTGACAGAGTATTTCTTAATGCCATGAAAAAACGAGCCTGGGCGACTCTGGAGGAACTGCCGCAGCCAGACGGATGACAGCGCGGGCAACTGCAACACGGTCCGCAATGCGGTACTGCCTTGATTGAAAACGCTCGGGGTGACTGCGAGGCCCCAGTGTGGCTGATCGATCAGCCTCATGTCCGAATACCTGGGACCTACCGATGACATTGACCCCCTCAGAAGCAGCGGTCTTCAACTGTGGTACCCGAAAGGCAATGCAAATAGCTAGGTTTCTAAAACAACCGCTGCCCTTGCAAACAATTTACAGCAAAGGCGACATCTCACACAATCGGCTGCCCATGCATGAACCCACCTCACTCACCAACTTACAAACTTGGGCGTTATTGAGGGAAGCTCCCGAACCGGGCTCAATCGGAAAACAATGAAGCACATGAGGATGGGGAGGCAGGGAGGATGGGAAGATGAGGACGACAAAGACATGGAGGGTGGATGCATCTTCGTGCGCAAACTCATGGCCGATGGTGAATTCGGCACGCGGCCATGGCCACTGCCTCGATATGTGAATGCAGTTCTGAAGCAGCGTCGATGAAGTGTGTCCAGTTCGGCTCGGGCCCCATGTGCGCCTCTTCCCGCAACTATGCTGCCCTCGACACGTGGCCGTCGTATCCGCGACAGTCGGAACGAAACCGAGCCGAGCACCTGGGGGTCGAGGCTTGGTGCAAGGCGGGGGAGATGAATAGGGGGAGGTGGCCATGACCGAGGTGGAGGGCATAAGCGGGGGGACGAGAGAGAGAGAGAGGAGGCAGCAGAGGGGAGAAGAGGACCACAGCCACGAGGATGACGGTGACTACGACGACGCCGACGACGATGCCGACGCCGACGACGACGCCGACGGCGTCATCGTTGTTCGTCAATCCCACCGCCGTTCGCAGAATGGGTCCCGGGGAATCTCGGCGCACCCGTTTCCAGGGGCCGCGTCCAGCCGCGGAGACGAGAGGCCACCGTCACAGTCCGACCGCCGTGCCTGCAGCCCGCCCTCCTTTTGTTAGCGGGCGAAGAACGGTGTACAATAAACTGCTCCGTCGCTGGGGGCGCTGCCCCCGGGCGGCTGGAAAGTTTCTACCTTGACGTGCCACAGTGAGGGTATAGACTTTCCAGCCGCCCTGGGACAGGCGCCCCCGAGAGCGAAGAAGTTTATCTTATACCGTTCTTCGCCCGTTAATTTTGACACGTCCGACGCTCTCGGCGTCGGCGTCGGCGACGTCGGCGGCGTCGGCGGCGGCTCGCCGCCGCGGGCTGCGGGCAGCGCGGCGTCGGCGGCGCGCCGCCGCGGCCACGGGTCCCGCGCCAGCGCGGCCGCCGCGGCGCAGCTGCCGGCCGCGCGGCACGCGGCCCTGTCTGGCGGGGGGGGGGCAGCGGCCGACGTTGTACAGGGCAGCTTTTAATACATAGGATTTGCAAAGAAATAAGATTTCTGATGCAGGATGAATTCATGTACAAATTTACGCATGGACTCATCGTTGTGTTTAATACTAAACCCCTGCAGAGTCGAGGGGCGGCACCACGGCGACGGCGCCAAATACCTTGGAGTCCCGAAGCGGTGCGGTGACAGACCGTGCGGTGACCTCGGAGCCCGAAGAGACCTCACCGCACGGTCCGTCGCCGCACGGTCTCGGGACCCAGGAGGCCCCTGTCGCCCGAGACGTCCTCGGAGAACGACCCGAGTCCCAAAACTGTGCGATGACCCCGAATCCCCACCGACTCACCGCACGGTGTGGTCACCACCCCGTTTGGGGACCCCCGAAATACAGTGCTGACGGGGCCGGCGACCACGATGATAATTACAGTCGGGCCGCTGAAAGAAGGAACGGCGAACAAGGCACGAAGCCCCTTCTTGGCCCTGTAGGCCCTGTAAGCGCCTCCGTGCCCCAGGAGGGCAGGAGGAACAGCACTGGAGGAACCTAAGGAACAGCGAGCCCCTTCCGAACCCAAACTGTTCCTTATTTCAGCGTCTTGAATGTGTGATGATGATGGTGATGATGATCACCACCATCCTCATCACGATGTCGGGTCACTTTATCCACGGCGCACAACGTTCAACTCGAAATGCGCGGCTGCAGTTGGCATGGCTCACGCGAGACCGAATCGTACGCGGTTGAACATACGTGCCCGCGCAGGCTCCTGAACAGAAAGAACTGATTACAGTGCGGAGTTTCCGAGTTTTACTCCACCAAATACAGTCCATAACCGAGCGTCATTACACACAAATGTTTGAAACCTGCTCTTGGCATAGATTCGGGTACTTGATCGTTTTAGCAACGCACAAGATGACGGCACTCCAGGGAGCTGCAAAAGACCGACGGACGCCGCGACAGCGGGCATCACTCCGCCAATAGGTAACCTAACAAACTCAACGACCAGAGAACCGAGCGACGCTAGGTCCAACACCGCTGCAGCTTGCAACGCTAAAGCGATGAGCCCCAAGGCTAACCAGAACCAACTACGTGACCAGCACCCTCAGACGGCAGGCGATTACAAACATTCCGACCACGGTGGATGTACATGTCCAAGGACTGGGCCACCTCCGAATACCTCCTGGAGAAACAGGCCCGCGCAGGCCCAACCCGCGATTCCTGGCAAGCCTCGAGAACCTGGCCAATATCTGCGCTGACCACCGTCAGGGACTCCATGGGGAAGCAGCGCCTGGAACAGCATCCAGAAACATTCAGGAGCAGACTCCTCAACCCATCCTTTCACAACGGCATGGCGCCTCTCGCGCCAAGCACTCCACGTGCGTGAGGAGGCCCCGACAACTGCGCGCACGCCCCGGGCCACCGTCCTCAAAGCTGCAGGGAAAAGGCATCCGAACATGTTGAAGAGCCTCCGAAGACATGCCTGACATATTTTCTCACACGTTCTCTCGCCCAAGCTGGTGTAGCACTTCGGCTTGACGAAAGGAACATGGGCGAAAGACGCGAGTGGCCCTGCCCCTCCTCCCGCGCTGCCGCGAAGCCAGACAGGCAGGAAGGCGCGTGCTCGGCCAAGTGCGAGGGGCAGCACGTGCGACGCCGTTGAATCTGTTCTGCTGCACCAATTCGGATGCGTGGCCACTGCGCGCGCCGAGTCTGCACGCAACTGCTGTGCATCCACGGGCCAGGTCTTTGAAACATCGCGAGCAACGGGCACGAATGTCGCATGAGCTGACCCACTACCAATCTCACTCGAAAACTCTGCCTCTAGAAGGACCATGCTGGAGGGCATTTGGAACTGAAACTTGTGGGCCTGGAAGACTGGAACTTTCCATGGGCCGTCGCCGCAGGCCAGGACACCGAGGAACTTGTGATGATGCCTGAGCGCTTTTCCACTGCGCACGTTGCTCAGTTTGGAGGGGGGGAACCAACATCTGACTCAATCGATCCCCCTATCGATCTCAATCAACGGGACACCACGGGACACCACGGGGCACCACTGGACACCACGGGACACTTGTCGATCTCACTATCGATCTCACTATCGATCTCACTCAACGGGACACCACATGACACCACGGGCCACCACGGGCTACCAAAAGACACCGCGGGACACCTCTCGATATCACTATCGGTCTCACTATCGATCTCACTCAACGGGACACCATAGGACATTTTTGGGGCACCACGGGACACCTCGGGGCACCACATCGATCTCACTATCGATCTCACGATCGATCTCACTATCGATCTCACTCAACGGGACACCACGGGACACCACGGGACACTTGTCGACCTCACTATCGATCCCACTATCGATCTCACTTTTTGGGGCACCACGGGGCACCTCGGGGCACCACATCGATCTCAGTATCTATCACACTATCGATCTCACGATCGAACTCACTCAACGGGACACCACGTGACACCTGTCGATATCACTATCGATCTTACTTCTTGGGACACCACGGGACACCTCGGGGCACCACATCGATCTCAGTACCGAGCTCAGTATCGATCTCACTATCGATCTCACTAACGATCTGACTCAACGCGACACCATGGGACACCACGGGACACCGCGGGACACCGCGGGACACCGCGAGCCACCGCCGGACGGACGGACGGACGGGCGGGCGGGGGAGAATCATTTGTCTTGATTTCGCCCTAGCAATGGCGGACACCACGGGACACCACTGTACGCCTCGGGACACCGCGGGACACCGCGAGCCACCGCCAGACGGACGGACGGAAAGGGGAGAATCCTTTGTCTTGACTTCGCCCTAGCAGCGGGTTCATTCCTCTCGCGTGCCCACGCGGCTGCGCCTCGCCCGCACACACGACACGAGCGAAACGAAACGATTTCCCGGTTTTGGGGGTCTCCGTTCCGCTGCGATCTCGGCCCCCGACCTCTGATGCGGTTGAGCGCCTGTGCCCGCGCAGGTCCCCGAACCCGAAGGATACTACAGTTTAGGTTCCGAGCCTTTCGCCGCATCATACAAGCCAGAGTCGAGCGACAGACAACTATTGCAAACATGACGCTCTATTTTGGCAGCTAGTTTGGTGGAACTTCACTATTCGTGAGGAGCACATGATGATGCTGAGGATGATGATGATGGTGGTGATGATGATGATGATGAAGACGTTGATGATGATGATGATGATGATGATGATGATGATGATGATGATGATGATGATGATGACGATGATGATGGTGGGAATGTAGATATAGGTGATGATGACGATCATGATGGTGATGGCGAAGATGAAATAATCCTTGATGAAACGATGGTACATGATGACGTCGACGATGACGACGCCGCCGAGAACAACGCCCATGAGAGCGCTGATGATGACCACTGCCGCTGTCAGACCCTCAGGATCGAGATTCGAAATACGAGGAATGGGAGGTTCGAGAAGGTTTCTGTGCCCGTCTGGGGCCCGAGGAGTGTCAGAAATCGATGTGGGAAAAAGGCCTGGTCAATACGGGTCCAGGAACTGATTAAAGGGATGTCCAAAGTCGCGGCTCGTAGATGGAAAGTTTCCTGTGAACATGTTTGTATGTTTTTGGGCCCCTGGAGCAGCAACAGCATGAGGGTCCCACTCTCCTGTGCAATCCCTCAGGCGAGGCGGGGTCAAGACTCAGGAACGCAGTTGCACCACAATGCTACAGGCGTGGCGGGGTGAAGGCTTCAGAGTCCACGGATGCCGCCGACCTAGGCTTGGCCCACAGCCCCGGACTCCGACAGATTAATTTTCGAATCCGCGCACCCCGGAGATCTGGACACCTTCCCAGATGGGTGATTTCTCCTCGTCCCGGATGCAGTGCTCTACGCGACGGCCAGGGAGGCCGCTGCCCAGAATGCACGTCGTTCATTTCTAATCGTGCTCATTTCTAATTGTGCTCGTTTCTAATGTTCCTGCCCCCTCGTGGCCAGGAAGAGGCAAAGGATAATAGAAGAATAAAGAATCTTGGCCCCCTGAAACCTAAAGAACTTTCGAATTGTCAAAAATCAACCATGTGTACAGATGGAGAAAAAAAGGGCGCCAGAGATCTGGGGAAAAGGAAACGTGGAGGGGACGTCATCGAGAACGATGCCTCCGAGGCGTGCCCACTCGCACGGCGACGCTTCGGTCAAGGCGTCAGCCGTTGCGCCATGTGGCCCAGGAAGCTGCGCCCAGAAGGCCGCAAGCAAGACACCCTCGGGAGCGGCCAAGAGGGAGGGCGTCCAAGAGGGGGGGGTGCAGAACATGGGCCGAGGCACGTGCGCGGCCCAGCGGTGGGCCAGGGCACGAAATGAAAGACGACGAGGCGCCATGAAGTCTGGGGAAGTATCATGGCCCACGCCACGATATCCCCCCCCCCCTAGTCATCACCCCCCTCTTGGCCGCCCCCGACACCCGCGCTGCGGTTCCGACGATCCCAGCGGAACCTCGGCCCCATGAGGCGCAACAGCTCGAAGGCCAAGCCGGCGTGCGCCTTGGAAGACCCACGCGCGCCGAGCACCATGCCGAGGCTCGTGCAATTTCCCGCCTGACGACACACCTTGCGGACCGTTGGGCCACCTTGCAACAACCGAGAGCAACACGCATGCCGCAGACGCCCCAGGCACCAGGAACACTTTGGGGCCGGGCGACAGGGGGGGATAGCATAAGGAAGGGGTTGAGAATCAGCTCACTTATCGATCTTCCCGGCGCCCGTCGGCGCCGGAGGCGGCCATGTATCGAGGAATGGGCCTCTCGGTGGGGCCGAAACCAGCTGCATGCAACAAATATCGTAACCCCCCCTTTTCGGGCGTTGGCAGAACTGGGTTTAATGGAACCTGGTTTAGTGATTTGTACCGGGGGCGCCCCCCCGTCCCATTTCCACTAATTAACCGGAACAGCCGTCACCCGAAAAACACCAGCTGTGGCAGACCTGGTATAGTGATTCTGGCCAATTCAAAGGCTCCGTCTGGGGCCCTACCACTAGCCGGGTCCCCTTACCCGGGGTCCTGGCCATACCCGACCTTCCCCTATCCCCCCCTTTTCGTCCGGCCCGACACCTGCGCCGAACAGAGGGCACCGCAGGCATCGGAGGGGTGGGTCGAGGCCGCACGGCCCCTCGGACCTCGAGCCTCCAGTGGGCCGGCGGGGCCCCCGAGAGCCCCGCTTCGGTGGCGATGGGGGGCCCGCCGGGAGGCTCCCAGAGGTTAGGGCAGGGGAAAGGCATCGATGCACGTCTGCTCTCTGCGCCGGGAACCCAACGCGGAGCACCATGGGCCACAGACAGTGCAATATTGCACTGTGGAGGTGGAAGCTTTGCAGTGTACACTATGCGGTGAACGCTACGTCGCGTCAGCTCTGTAGTGCGAGTCATGGAATTGCAAAAGGATGTGGTGCACACTATGCGACGTAGGCTATGTCGTGTAGGATGGGCGGTGTGAACTGGAGGTGGAAGCTATGGGGTACAAATTGTGTGATGCAATCGATGCTGTGTTTTAGATTCGGCGGTGTAGGCCAAATTACGTACGCTATGTGATTTAAGCTACGTGGTGTGACCGATGAGATCTACGTGGTATCAACTATGCGGCGAAAGCATGCTGATGAACGTTACGTCGTGCAAGCTCAGAGCAAAGGGCGCCCAAGAGGCGCCCATGAGGCGGCACGGGCGTCAACATTGCACAATCCCGACATACCCTCAAAGCGCGGGGCGCCCGCGAGGCGCCCACGAGGCGGTAACGTGGCGCAAACCCATCATGCCCCCCAAGCGCGGCGTGCCCACGAGGCGCCCACGAGGATGCACGGGCGGCAGCGGCAACGTGGCACAAATGCGGCATGCCAAACCCATATCATGACAGAGCAGAGTAAGAAAACCTGGGTCCAAGCAGCGCTTGGGCATTATATAGCTACCTTTAAGTCGGGCCTGTCCCCCTACAAGGAAATGTTGGACGAACAATTCAAAATACTGAAAACATATCAAACAAATGTTCATTTTATATATATATAAAAAAAAATCGTCCCCGGGCAATTTTTAACTACTTTTGAACATTCCCCCTGTAGATGGACAGGCCCGACATAGAGCTACCTCGCCTGACCCGAGCCGCTGGTGGGCAGACGGAGCGGGACCCCCCGAGCGATCGCGTGCGCCCGAGGGCCGCGCCAGGCAGTCCAGGAGGGAAGGCTGGAGACCTGCGGCGTGCACGCCCGCCTCGGTGCCGTGGCCTGGCTGCCGCGGCCCTGGTCCAGCTGTCGCTGCCTCGGGGGCCGCCCGTCCCGTCGACTGCGACGTCGACGCCTTCGTCGTCTCGGGAGCCTCGCGGGCGTCGCTGGAGGCCCTCACCGCCAAGGCTGGGCGCAGATCGCAAAGCTGGCCAGGATGGGCCGGCGAAAGGGCACGCGGACCAAAGCGGGTGGCGACGACGGCGACAGGGTTTGCCGCAGTTGTCGTGGGCAAGCTGAAAAAATATTGTCTAGCGCTTAGCGCTGTTTCCGCGCCCTCGTACTGAAGGAATTGTTCCACTCGAAGGGCTGATGTCTAATGCATCCAGTTTAACATAATTGTTCAATGGGTGGAAGTCAGGCCAATAGCAGGCCAGCAAGACACTGGTGATAAAATTGCTTACAATCTCGAACAAAGAGGACGTCCAGCAACTCCTTTGCAACCGGCACACCGCTGCATGCTGTCGCGCCGCCGAGAAAGGCAATGGTCGGAACAGTGGTGAGAAGCAACATGTAGGGAAGCATATATCAGACCTGCCCCAAGCAAACGCGGGATAGCCCGTGGGCAACCCAGTGAAACACCCTCTGGCTGTCACCTTGTTTCGCTGACGTAGGGCACCCAGCAAGACACTGGATATACACGCATGGCTGGATGAATGCCGACAACAACTGCAAAGGTTTGTGGCAACTTGGATAACTTGCGCTCTCGCCCAGGTCGGCCGCATAATGTGGATCTGGCTTCCTGGCACGCGCTTGGCTGAAAGCTTCGACTGCGTGCAAGGGTGGCCCCAGGCGAGAGTGACCTGCGGTGCGCAGCTGTAGGCGGGCGAAGGGGGGGAGGCAACCCAAGCGCGCAAGCCGCCGCCATCGCACCGCTCTCCTCGATTGGGGGACCGGCGTGCCCGCGCCAAAGAGGCCCCCCCCGCGAGAAGCCGCTCGTGTGCGCCACCGACTTGTGGAAACCCGCGACGACGTCGCCGCCCGACGTCCCGGGCATGCTACTCTGACGCCCAACCCGTCATCCCGGGCACGCCAGCAATTGAAACCCGACCCGTCGGCCTTGCGGCGCCTCTCCGGCAGCCCGGCGCAGCAGACCGCGGCGGCGAGCGCCGAGAGGCGGTCCCACGGGGCCGCCGCGGGGCAAGCCATGCGCCTCGCCGAAGGCGGGGAGCTGTTCTCGGCCCACGATGGCTGAAAGGATGGCCCAGCTGTTTCTCCTCGTCCCCGTCCTCGTGCTCATCCTCCTCCGTCGAAGAGGACGGCGGGCGGATCAGAGGAGGGCGAGGAGGCGGAGGAGGAGGAGGAGGAGGGGGAGGAGGAAAAGGAGTCAAAGCAGGGTAGGAACAGGAGGGAGGACGAGGAGGGAGCGCAATGGGGGGCGAACGTGGGTAGATGTGAATCTCTGGCGCGCCGCTGCCCCAGACGTTTCGTGCTACGAGAGCGGGCTGCACGAGCCTCAGCGAGATCTTGCCCGTGAAGAGGAGCGGCGCGGCCGAACAACAATATGCACAGAGCGGAGGAAGAGAAAACTGCTGTGCAGTCGCAAGTGCACACTGTGGTTTAGCACAACACCTCAATCCTCGACCATTGTTCAGCGATTCTCGTCCTCGTTTTTCGATTTGAACTTCGCTCTGCGATCCTCGAACCAAAATCCTCGTCAACCCTCGCTGGTTATTTGAACCTCGCTCCTCCTTCCGCGCCCCTTGACAAATATCCCGTTACTCTGCCTACTCCTCTCCCTCCTCCCCTTACGCCTGTCGCTGCGGGTCGGTTCGACGCAATGACCAAGACCTCGCGCGCCCCCCTTTCCTCCTCTCCATCGCAGCGCCGTCCGTCGGGCGTCCCCGATCCGCGCCGCCGCGCGAGCCGGGCACGCCGTTTTCGAAGGGGGGAAGAGGGGGAAAGGGCACCTGCAAGTCCACTGTATCAATCATGCCCACCGATGGAGAAGGATGAGGCGGAACCACCGGGCCGCGCATGGGATATCGGTGCGGTCGCGGATGACGCAGCACCTTGCCTGTATCGACGCACGTGGCGTACATTCTCGATACTGGCAACGAGGTGGCGATGTATTCTCTGCCTTGAAGACGATATCATTGTACCTGGAGCGGTCCGGCGTAAGGCTGGCCGTTATCACCATCATCTTCGTGAGGTGCCACTCCGAGAGCAAGTGGACTTTCCTGTAGGTCAGTGAGCAGGCCTATCATACGTTTGTGCGCAAAGGCAACGCGCTCCTTATACTCGTGACGGAAGATGCGGCCTGCCTCGTAAGTCGGCGGCCTCTATAATACGGATCTGCAGCTGTTGTTATCCGCCCCATCTGTCCGAATACTTCGCTGCGACATTGCGTGGATCTCGTGGTCGGAGCTCTCCTGATAGCCGTCATAGCTCAGCTGGTTGCCCTCGTAGCTCAAAAAGCCATCGGAGATCTGCTCGTAGACCTCGTAGCTCCGCCGGTCCTAGGAGCTCCTCTCGGTGTCCCTGTAGCTCAGCTCGCGGTCCTCGAAGTTCTGCTGCTGGGCCTGGTGGTTCCGCTGGCTTCTGGAGGCAGCGACGGAGGGGTATCTTGGCGAACCTGGTCAGCAGGTGGTGTTCGTATTTGCGCGGCAGCTTCCGCATCGTCATTCCAGGGCCGCGTGACTGTAGTGGCGCCGTCCCTGGTGGTCATTTTAGCTGTTCCAGCCAGGTGGCAGGGAGGTTGGTGCCAGTGGCTCTCGTGGTTCAGCTGGTAGCCGTCATGACTCGGCTCGCTGTCCTCGGAGCACTGCAGGTGTTCCTCGAAGACCTGCTTGTGGCTCTGGTAGCTCAGTGCGTGGTCCGGATAGCCCAGCTAGTGGGCCCCGTAGCTCGGCTGGTGTCTGTGCTTGCTCAGCAGGTGGCCCGTGCAGTTCAAACCATGGTAGCTCTGCGGCGGGCTCTCGTAGTTCTGCTTGTGGCCCGCGTGGCTCAGGCCTTCTTGTAGTCCGCGTAGCTCATGGCTGTGGCCATCGTAGCTCAGCAGGTGGCCCTCGTAGCTCTCATAGTTGCGTTTGCAGCCCTCGTAGCCCAGCTCGCAGTCCTCGTGGCTCTGCTGGCGGCTCTCGACGCTGTGCCTCTGGACCTCCTAGCAGCTTCTGGTCCTCGAAAAGCTACTGGGGGAAAAAATCATGTCATGCGCTGGCGGGGCCGCGGGGCCGCGCGCCAGCGCGGGCCGCGGGGCGCGGGCCGCGGCCGGCTGGCACCCTGGGCCTCGCTCCGCCCTGCCCTGCCGCTTTGACGCGGCAGCCGGCGTAGGGAAGGCGGCGGTCTCTCGCGCCCCGCCCCTCGTTGACCGCGCGCGCGGCCCCCCCTGCCCCGCCTGGAGCAGACGACGCCAGATGGAGAAGGCGCCGCGCCCTCACCCTCCGGCCCTGCGCCGCGGACGTCTGGGGCGACGCGGACGGACAAGGGGGTGTCGTCGTTTTGCCTATGACTCTCGTTGCTGAGCACTTGCGCACCCGGTCTTCCTCTTCTGGCGGCCTCCGTCGCGCAAAAGATGGTCCTGGTGGTTCAGCTGGTATTTTTCGTTGTCCTGCTCGTTGCTTTTAAGCTCAGCTTGTGGCCCCAGTTGCTCAGCCGGGGGGCCCCCGTGGCTCTGCTGATGACTCTCGCATCGCGACAGCTGGGTCTTGAAGCTCGTTTGGCGGGTTGCTCAGGTTTCGGCCCTCGCAGCGCAGCTTGTGGCTCAGGTGGTTCTGCTAGCTCGGCAGATGGGTCTTGGATTTCTTCTGGTGACTCCTGTAGCTGCGCCCGTGGCTCTCGTAGCTCAGCGCGTGGTCCTCCTAGCACAGTTCGCGGCTCTTGCGTTGCCTTTGTCTGGAGGCCAGAGAAAAGGGTCGTCTGCGGGAACGGCCCCAGAAGGGGCAGGGAGAGCGACTAAATCGGAAATCCGCCTTCGTTGTGGCGTGAAGTTCGTTGGGGTCAACATGTCGTTTCGAATTATGTTCGGGTTGAACGTCGGCTCCAGATTCCCAAAGTTTCGTTTGCATTTGAAAGCGTCGTTTGTTCTGCATTACTGCAAATGCGTCGAACTTCGGGATGGGTTGTCCGATGGGTTTGGCGTGGTTGTCGGGTTCGACCTGTGTCCCGGGGCGTCGGTGCTCGGCCCTTGTGTTTCCGCTGTGTCTTGCGATGCGCGTCGGTCTTCGGCCTCGGCATTTGTCTCCTGCTTCGGTCTTGCCACGCGGTGAAACATCGAACATCGACCTCGTCTTTGCGACGGGGGTGGCGGCCTTGATTTCCTGAGTTCTGCCTGCGCCATCGCTCGCCATCAGCGCGGTCCCCCGTGGGCCCCGCGACGCGCGGCCCGCGCAATGGCGCGCGGCGCCCACGGCCACTTTGCCGCAGAGCACGCGAGCACGCGCCAGCCTTGCTGAGTTTTGTTGCGGAGCACGCAGCGCGAGGCACACGGGCACGCGCGCGCATCTCAACGGCGAGGCTTCGACGTCACGCGCTGTTTGCGCGGGGGCTCGCGTTGCACAGCCGAGAGACGTGGGCGAACCTTCTGAGGGGAGCACAACGTGCGCGTCGCCGAGTACGTTCCGCATTGCGTCGGTCTGCCAGAAGCAAGTCCCGCCTCCGCGCAAGTCCAGCACATTGGTTGGCGACTGTTCGAATGATGCCGACAATGGCAACGACAAGGCTGGTTCTGATGATGGCGACTGGGACAACGATTGCGATGATGATGTGGAGGAGAAAAAAAACACAGAAGGCTGTCACGTGTGACGCCTTTACAACTCCTTTCTTGAAGGGCTTTCATGGAGCTCACCTGCGCCGTATCAGGGCAGTCTTGGGCTCCTGTGGGGTAGTGTTGCGGGGCCCTTGCGGCTTTCTTGGGTTGTTCTGGGCCCCTTCTGAACCGGCTTGGGTCTCTGCGGCGTCGCGCGGGGCCCCCCCAGGCCGACTTGAATCCCTTCGGCGGCCCTCGCAAGCTGACTCGGGGCTCTCTCGGGGCCGCCCTGTGCCGCGCGGGGCCGCCGAGGTTTGGTCGAGGCCATCTTGGACGTTTAGTTTCCCATG